GGGAAAGAATCTCTGGTTCTTCATTGTTGCAGCTGGAGGCTGCTGCTGGCCTCCATTTTCAGAGGAGTGATTTCAGAGGGGTTTTGACCCACGTCAGACTTGGTGGCCATGTAGCATGGCCCAGGAAGGGGCTGGTGGCACCCGGGCCAGAGGTTCAAGCAGGAGGCTTAAGGAGGTGGTGCTTTGTGGCCACACAGCTCCCACACACCATGGCCACCCCAACACTCACCTGAGCAGTGCTTCTGCAAGCGGAGGATCTCCAGGTGCAGGTCATGGAGCAGCTCCATCTGCTCCTTCTTCAGGAAGGCGATGTGCCGCTGCACGCTCTGGATCTGGTGCTCCAGGGACACGGTCTCCATCGCAACCAAACTCACTGTCCAGGCCTGCAGGGAGCAGAGATGGCTTGTGACCAGACATGCAGCAGCACACAGGGCTCACTTGCCCAGAGCCCTCGTGAGGGGCAGAGCTAACAGGGGGGTGGGTGGCAGCTCCCATCTGCCCTTTCCACCAGGATGTCTGTGGCAAAGCCACTCTGCTCAGATCCCTGGGGAGATGGCCCCAAGCCATCCCACCACCCCAGTGCCCCCTGGGCTGGCTCCTGTCCCACCCGTGCTCAGGCTGGGAGGCTCAGGGGCTGCATGAGCAGAAAATGCTGGTGTGCAGACCCTGCCATCAGAATGGCTGGTTTCCATTTGGAATTTGCCCCTAGGAAATGTTTTGCCACAGAGCAGGATTGAGTCTGGGACAGGACTGCTGCCTGCAGGCCCCAGGAGGGAGTTGCACCAGGGACGATTTTGGCTCTCACTTGACAAGCCACGTATTAGGAAGCAGTAACTGCAGCAGGAGATCTAACACATGAAAAATACAATATGCTCCATCTAACCCCATCAGTGTTACATGGCAAGGAGAGTCCTGTTCTCCTCCAGAAGAAGAAACACCTTTCCTGGTAATTCTCCTGGCAGACAAGAGCTGCTGCCAGTGCTGCTCCAGGGGCTCAGCCCGGGGCTGGGGGTCCCTCACCATGATTTAACTAATGCCTTCAGCAAAGCAGCAGCGTGAGCTGCCTACCTGTGCCAATGCCATTGCACCAGGAAGGTAGAAATAACCCCCTGGAAGAACTCAATCTCGGGAAATACCCTTTTGTAGGAAGGTGGAATCAGTCCTTGTGCCCAGCCCAGGAGGAGGGGAAGCTGCAGCAGCCATGGTGACACTGGGGAGACGCTGTCCCAGCAAGCCCGAGGGACTGCAAGCACTGTCCTGTCCCCAGGAAGCTGCTGCCGTTCCTGCCTTTGTCTGCCTCTGACTTCACTTTTCTTCCTACAGAAGCTCGGGAACGGAGCGAGCACTTTGGCTCCCGCGTTCGGCACGCCCAGCTCCCTAACCTGGCGCGTTCTAAGATTATTCCCACAACCTAAATCGAATCAAAGTGCATTTTTGCTCGATTCCACAGTGAGCAATCTTGGCAGCACCCTGAGGTCAAAGCAGCGTTCCTGCCAAAGCCTCTCCAGGTTCCCGACACCCTTAAAGCTGGGTCGGGGGAGGGCATGCAGCGAGGGTCCCTCCCCCGTGGGGTCAGGGCTTCCTGCCCCACTCTGCTGCTCCCCTGGCAAGCCCAGCAGCCAGCGGGGCTTCCACAGGCATTCTCCTTGTGATTCCCCTAAGCAGGCAAGTGCTGGGGGGTGCAGAGCTCCGGGGCTGTTCCTGCCCTGCACCCTCATGGGGTGTGCTGGGGGTGCTAGGAGGGTACCCCCACTTGTGATGCTGGTTGTGCAGGGCAGGGTTATCAGAGGCAGTGCAGCACTGAACTGGCAGAAATGTAAGTAGAAATTAGAGAAATGTTGTCCTCCTAGGGCTGCCCCTGATTGAAGGGGCAGGGGGCTGGTTACTGGCCTGGCTGCCCCTTGCAGGGCAGGGCTCCCAGTGCAGCTGGGGGGCTCTGCCTGTGGGGGCCCTAATAAGGCCTGAAATAAGGATACTGGGTAACGGGAACTGACTGTGGCCTATATGATGGATTGTCACTGGGGTTTTTCATGTCCCAGGGAACCATTTCTGCAGGCAAGTAATGAAGTTTCAAGTTGTAGGATGGCTCTGCCATGCAGGAAATTAAATGCTTCAAACATTCACCCCATGACAACAACACAGAAGGATGAAAAAGGCTGGTGTGACACATGAAAGCAACAAATACAAAAGCCTTGTTTCTCATTAATGTGCTTATTGTGGAAGGTATGATTTATACTGGCTTAAAGCTTCCCTCTGGGACAATGTCACATAGGGGAAGCCCAGCCCTGGCTCAGTCCTGCCTGCCCAAACGTGAGGGGTATTTGTTCTCTGCAGGAAACACTGGTGCTTCCAGAACCCCGGGAAGTGGATCCCTCAAGGCTTGGCAGTTTAAAACAGAACCAGAGAAAAAAATAACAATCTAGCTCTAGACTTAACTTCCCAATCATTCCTACTCTTCTGAATGGCAAGGTGATGATTTAAAGGCTTGTAAGTCCCCTTGGCTTTCCAGATGGCACCATAACTAACAGGAGAGGTGGCACCTGTCCTTTCTACCAAGAGGGTTGGACATGACAGGGATTCATGAAGGGGGGTAGTTTACTTGTGCCAGTGCAACACCTATGGAAGTTACTTGGCACCTGCCATAGGCTGGGAATACAAAGCATCCTATGGCACATATCCTCTGCCAGCTCAACTGCAGGGGGTGAGAGTGGGATGTGCTGGGCTCTGGAGCAGCATCTTGAGGGAAGTTGTGGCACCTCATCTCAGGAAGCGTCAGAAAGTAGGTTGGACAGAGCCCGGGGGATACGTAATGCTATTTTCAAGCACTTTGTTCTGTCTGTTTGAAATGTCTTTACTAGAAATGGCTGCAAATTTTCCATTGAACTTTCCCTCCTCCATTTAAGTGGGAAATCACCTTTTTTTTAACAGCAATTAAAATGTTTTCCTTTAAAAATAAATAGTTGATAAATATCAAGCTGTAAAGAAAGTAAAAGAAAAATAATTCTGTAATGGAGATCTATCTGTTGGCTCTGATTTGGAAGATAAAAGCCCTGCATAATGTATCTGTGTGGGGGGGGAAGTTTTCAATATGCTATGGAAATCCAGGGGAGGAAAGTGCCCTTCCACCTGGCTGCCAGCAGACAGCTCCGTGTCACAGGTACTGATGCAAGAGCCAAGAGCTGTTGGGGAAGCTGCAGTGTGGTCATGAGGTTTCAGTAGCACCCTGGGCTGCTGGAGTGTCTCCAGTGTCACCAGGAGCCAGAGGATGAACTCTCCCCTCGCCGAGGCTGTGCCCACCCACTGTCCTGCAGGGTTTCGGAACTGAAATCTCAACAACTGGTATTTCCCCCTGATGCTTCTGAAGCCAAGTGGAGATTGCAGCAACATTCTGAGCCCTTAGTTCGATGTGTGCCTTTGGTTGTTTCATGCAGCCAAATCACTGGGGAGGTGTGGGGGTTAATAAGGATTAGCTGCTGCTGCTGCCTGACTTAATGACGCTTTGCAGGGCCACGGCATCGCCCAGCTCAGTGCTGGGGGCTCGGTGTGAGGCTGCAAGTCTAGAAAACAACATCATTCATAATAAAAGCCAAGGGTAAGTGATAGACCTCTTTAGCCTGAAGGATGCTCTGTGCCCTCGTGCCTCTGATACCTGTGTATAAGCACACCCAGAGCTGGGGAGGGCAGCAATCAGATGGACAGGAATTTTTGCCCCTACTCAAAGGTGGCATCTACAGTCTGAGCTGGCACCTGCTCCCTGCAGAGCTGCAGCTGAACACTGACTCTCATTTTGAAGCTTGAACATCCAAGGGGCTTTGCTCCATTGCCAAGAACTTTCCAGGAACAGGTTTCTCATGCTGACCCTCCAAGATTTTGAGCACAGGACCCCCCAGGCCTCTCCCTGGAGTAGCAAGCCAGCTTCAGCAGGGCAGTCACTTGGGACAGTTCCCATGCTGGGTGGTGCTGGGCAGGGTGTCAACTGCTGAGCCTTCCTGTGGGCCTGCCACCACCTCCAAATACAATTTTTTTTCCTGACTCCTTATCTTTTCACCATGTGACTACAGCCTCTGGGACAAGGTGCATTGGGAGTCCTGATCTCAGCTGGGTGCTTCATAGCGCTCTCAGACCTCTGTGAGACTCCCAATTTCATCCATATTTATCAGAAGTCTTATTCCAAAAACCAAAATGACTGGAGCAGCCTCTTGAAGTAGCTACAATGACTAACTTAGTTGCAAGCCTACCAGGAGCTGATTTATTTTGCACAGGGAGATTGTTTGAGAACTTGCTTCCAGGGCAAAACTGCACTGAAGTCCTTTGCTTGGTGCCAGTCAGGATCCTAAAACTCTGACCTGAGAAAAAGCCCCAGTTCCTGATGCTGCATTTGGAAGGCAGATACTGTACTGCACGTACACACAGCCCAGCACAAACACCCTCACACTGACATCCAGCCCTTATCAGTGGAATCATTTCTCCCCATAAATGGCAAATTAACTGGGAGTCAGAGGGCACAAAGGAGGTTTGCAGAAACAGGTCGATAACTTGTCCTGCTGTGGCTGCCACCAACCCCCCTGCATCACATTAAAACATGCGCAGGAAAAGCACTGGTAGGTGTTAGAAATCCATACTGCTTTGTATTTACGATCCCAAAGAAGATTAACACAGACTTTGCAGTGATGCCACAAAGCGAGAATGTTTTTCAATGTTAGGAAAATAAGGCAGCAAGAAGCTGATGAACTTGCAGAAGGTCACAGAGGTAGTGGCAATGCCAGGAATAGAAACTAGAGGTGAAATCCTGGCCTTGGGAAAGTCAGTGGGAAACCTTCTCCCTTCTCAGGAGGGTCAGAATTGCACTCAGAGTCCTATTTGCTATTCATTATCTATCACTATCTATTTAAAGATCAAATCAGCACAAACGTTGATTACAAATTATTGTGTTTTTTTGCAGTTTTCTGGACACAACCCCCTGCCTCGCAGCCCCGGCCGGTCGGTCGGCTGCAGGAAGGCCGATGTTCCCTGCTGGCTCCGGGGGAATCGCCCACGGGTGCAGCTCCCCGGCAGGAGCAGGGCTTGGCTCTGAATCAGCCCTGCCGTGAAGCGGGTGATCCCCGCGGTGCCATCCTGCACCCTGTGGGTTTTGGAGCGGTGCTGGTCCCCGGCCGGCTCCTTGCGCAGACTTTGCCGGCGCGGCGGGGCAGAGCCCGGTGTGCCCGGCCCCGGGCCTCGCTGCTGATGGACCAGGGGAAGCAACTTCTAGAACAGGCACAGGAG